GTTTTTTTTTTTTCTCATCCTACATCGTACCCACAATTCTCTCTTAAACACAAGTGACAGTTTTTTTAAATCAGTGCGCGCCTAAAGGTGGCTTCGGTGCCGTTTAGCAGTTTACATTTCTTTATTGGTCACCTTGAGAAACGTTTCCCGGAGAGCATCATGTAAAGGTCTGGGATGGGACAAAGTTATTACGATTCGCAGAGTCTGCATCGTCCAATACCGTATTGTATTCTCGTTTCATTTGGCTAAACGGGTCAATCACCCTGATCCAGGCTGAGACAGAAAGTTACGATATTGTTCGCTTTTCTAAGGTGACCACTAAGTCTTTGGCCTCGGGTACAGGCTCTTAGGAGTCAAATGAATTGAGAGAGAGCAAAATTGCCGCTGAACTTTGACCCAGGCCAAGACTCCTGACCGTGTGACTCTACATCAGGGAACTTGAATAAGACGAGTGACGAGAAAAGTCCAGAGGTGTGTATCTGCCAATAGGCTGAGTTTTTCCGAGTTATTCGATGATATTTGGCTTGTGTTAAACGTCAGAAGATTATACGTGGTTGTGGATAGTCGCACCAGTGCTGCGAAAGTGTGTGATCGTGTAATTTCCGCATGGTGTTGACAGGTATGTGGTCGCGTGGTTGAGCTGTTTCGCTAAAATATTCTGTGCCAACCATAAATCTGTTTCTTCGGTGTTTAGTTTAGCTGATTGTACCTTGGAAAAGCAACTCTCGACTCAGGAAAATTGGATCTAGGTCTAGTTTCAGCGGGTTCTAATGGCTTTGAACCAAAGTCTGCATCGTTCCTAGGCGTCTCAAGAGTGGAAAATGAAAAACGCGACTGTACGAGCCATCAAGGAGTATCGCGCAGTGGACCATGGAACCTTTAGCGTGGACGCGAAGGACGCTGGGAAGGGTGAACGAGAAAAATGAGACGCCTCGCAGATTTGGGCTCTTTCTAGGTGTAAGCATGTCCCTAAATACCTCTATGTCATGTATAGGTATAGATACTGTAAATCCCGTAGATGGTATAGACCTTATAGATGCTAAAGCTCAAATAGATCCTATAGAGTCTGTAGATCCTATAGATCCTGTAAATGCTATAGATCCTATAGATCCTGTAGATCCTATAGATATTGTAGATGCAATAGATGCTATTGATCTACAGGATCCATAGAATCTACAGGATCCATAGGTTCTACATGATCTATAGGATGGCTATACCATCTACAGAATCTATAGGATCTACAAGATCTGTAAGATTTATAACATCTATAGCATCTACAGAATCTATAGGATCTATATAGCATCCACAGTATCTATGGGATCTACAGACTTTATAGGATCTATATGATCTTTAGCATCTATAAGATCTATACCATCTATAGGATTTACAGTATCTATACCTATACATGACATAGAGGTATATTTAGGGACAGACACAATTTGGGGACATGTTTACACCTAGAAAGAGAAGTTTTTCCGAATATCTCGCATTTGAAATATTGCACAGACCTGATTCTTGGCAAGGCTTTTTGTATATTTATCTTCTTTCATTTCCCAGATTCTAGTCTTTCTGTATTTTGATGGCGTGACAGTGAAAACCACCAATAGGGCAACCAGTAATCTTATCACGTTTATTTTCAGACACCACAACCGCAACGGAAACCTCAGGTGAGAAGAAGTTAAAAGGCGGTTTTGTTTTATTAGCCTGTGTACAGACCTCTCGCCTCCCTAAAAAAATCGGGAGAAAACAAGGGTCCTTTTCACCGGAACACGATTAACGACGGCGATTCACAGACGTCTCTTCCTCCGATTTTTCCTGAGAGAGCGGGGACGTCTGTACACAGGCTATGTTTTATCAGCTGTCTTGCATCATTTATTAATATTTTTAAACTTACGCAACAGGACGGGAAAGGAAACTAGATGGCAAACCTGGGGCTGACAAACGTGATAATGATTTTTTTTCAATTAAAAAAACTTTCCACAAAACTTTACCTTCCTACATTGCTTCCTATAAACAGATAGTTTTGTAAAAGACCCAGAAGAAAATAAGGTTAAGTGAAGATAACAACAAAACACGCAAGTAATAGCCCTGTCACGCTTGTCATACTTAAACTCTTCTTCCTACCGTCCTGTTGCGTAAACTCGCGAATAATAATGTCAGACAGCCAGCCCTTAAGTTTCGATGTCCCGTGTGCTATTTTTGGTGTACTAGTTTCGATGTTCGATCTATTAGTTGTTTTACTAAAAACTGCACTCTGAGAAACTTCAATTCGTAGCCAATCACTGGTGAAAATTTTGAAGCGATCTGACAGGGATAAAGTCACTTTTAAGGCGATTGAAGAATATCGGAATGGCCTCCGAAACGCTGTTAAAGAGGGTAATGTATCGGAACACCTTTTTAAGTGTGTTCTTTAGCGATCTATACAGTAAACAAACTTAAAAAATATTCTGGACTTAGGTTATCGGTTCCTAAGATTTTGTCAAATAGCGTTTTTTTTATGCTAAAGGCTTTACGGCCATTGTATATTAAACCTTTCCGTACTATAAAACACCCATAGACTCTTAAGGGACCTCTAATCGAGAGGTCCTGGACATCCCGTAAATCTATAAGTTGTTCACACTAAGTTGTTTCTTTCATTATAATCTCAACACAGGATGCGGTACAAGTTCTGTTGGATGACATTAAGAAAGGATGCAGTGTTCCAGGGGTAAATGAATAGTACTATACGCCCCTTCCACATTTCCCATAATGCACCTTATTTGCCCTACCCGCTCCCCCCAAATTTTGCATAACCTTTGGTGTTCCAAACCAGTCCTGTGGCAGATGAACTCGTCTTTTGTTAACACTTTCTTTTGTCCCAATATATTTGCATAGATGCTGGTTAATTCCTTAAAGCAGAAAAAAGACAACTTTAGTGAACTTTTGGGAAAAGCCAAAAGTGTAGAGAAAGACAGTTGTAAAATAAGTTTGTACCCATATGGTGTTGGCAAAGGAAAACAAAGACTCGTTTTTTTCGATATACATAATTATAATGAAAGGTGAATATGATAGTAGGGTAGGCAATGATTGTGAGTGTTTTGGCAAGCCTGCAGTACAACGGTCAGCAGTCAGTTGAGCCTGCAGTCAGCGGTTGGACCGAGTGGTTCTGGACCCAAGTCACACGCAAGGGGTCACACGTGGAGATGTGTCACGTATTCAAGAATCGCGCGCAGTTCGTCTTAAAGTGTGAGTTAGGTACAAAATAGCTCATATGCCAGTGGTATGAGCGTATGTATCTTCGTGGCTTTGTGGCTATGCATGTTTGGATGCTTGTTGCAGGGGCCAATAAGGTTGAAGGTACTATGAGTTGATGCGTAGAAACCAATGCGATTTTGGCATATAACCGTTAATGACATTGCCTCAAGGCTTAGAGAGCGCCAGAGCGCCTTTTTTCGCGGCAAAAAGTGTTTTGAAGCATAGCATTAAAATATCTACATGATTCAAACGCTGAGTACAGTGATGCAGCTGTTTGAGGGGTGCATATTTTAGTGTGGGTGCTGCTTCAAGACATTTGACCTAATTTGGCTATCGCGAACGGTACAACGCACGAGTTCCGTTTCACCTGATTTCAAGATAGAGTATGAAAGATCATATATTTTTCAAATTTCTTCAGATGAAACAATAATTGAAATTTAGATATTGACTTTAATTTGGAAGTTTTCGGCCTATATATTCTTGTTTTAGAAGTTTGAAAGGCAAGGCGAGTATTGTTAATCCTGTAAACAAGCTTCATTCTTTCGCTTACAAAGTTCAACAGACCTTTTTCGTACAGTCAAAAACAAACACATGAATTAGGTGAGGAACATGATACATGCTTGCTGCTTACGAGTTATTATAGTTATGGAAACGTATTTTATTTTATTAGTAAAGATGCGCAACTCAAGTCTTACATATTGTTTTATTGAGTGGAATAACATGATATGAGTAGAAATATATTTCGGCAGTTTGATAATTTTCTTGGAAGTTAATA